CGAGCGAAGATTCTACGTCTTGTATGAGCAGCAGCTATACACGGCTGGCTTCAAGTTTCAACAATTCTCCTTCAACTAGTTCTCCATTCACTCCACTGACAGGTTATCTTTCTGCCGATTAGGCTTCTACAACAGTGGTGGTGGTTAACCCACAGCATTCACCATTAAGTATGTACTGACAACCTGGAGTCACAATATTCTGACACAACTTACATCAGTACATAATATCCTATTTTATATTTTTTCATTTCTAAGAATAAAATTTCTAATGAAACTGGTGGGTGACCAAAGGAAGGAAAACTGACCTGAAAAAACCTACTTGTATACAACCAACAGAATCTTACAAGAAACAACTCAAATCAAAATCAGTGTTCAAACCATTAGGGATCAAGGTGTTTAATTTAATTTAAAGATCCAGCTGTGTTCCTGTACCTTTCCTAGGTAGAGACTGCAGGGTGGGGGGGAGATGGAAAGCTGATGTCAGAGGGGCAGATAAATGTAGGTTCATGGTTGGCTGAGAAGGAGATAGGGTTGCCAACTCCAGGTTGGGGAATTCTTGGAGATTTGAGGGGTGGAGCCTGGAAAGGGTGGGGTTTGAGGAGGGGTGGGACCTCAGACAGGTACAATGCCATAAATTCCACCCTCCAAACCAGCCATTTCCTCCTGGGAAACCATTGTTGCCAATCTCCAGGTGATGGCTGGAGATCACTCAGAATTACAACTGCTTTCCAGATGGCAGAGATTATTTCCCATGCTGAGGTGCCCCCCCCCATGACAGGCAGTGTGACGTAGCAATGCTTCACAGCAGGGTCTGCCAGATCCAGGTTCTTCCTATGGACTCTGATTGGGTGATTTCAGACCAATCACAGACTTACAGGGTTGTTGTGCAGATTGAAAGGGGGAGAGGAGAATGATGTGAGCTGCTTTGGTCCCCACTGTGGGGAAAGACTGTAATTTTTCCTCCTGGGAAACCATTGTTGCCGATCTCCAGGTGAGGGCTGGAGATCACTCAGAATTACAACTGCTCTTCAGATGGCAGAGGTCAGTTCCCTGGAGAAAATGGTGGACTCTGTCATTATATCCTGCTGAGGTCACCACAGCAAATTGATGCTGTGTGCCCAAGGCCAGGGCACCCACCCAGATCCTCTTTCTAGAGCTTGTTGTATTTATTTCTACAACGGGCCCTATTCCTAGTTAATAATAATTACCCTGATGGAACAACCATATTGTCAGGCCGAACATATCAACATAAGCCATGATTGCATTTGTAAAGCAATTATACAGTAATCTCTCCAAGGTCTTTTTTCTGGCAGTTACCTGGGCTTGAGTCATACTGCAGTGTATTTAGATGTTATGCTGGAGTTCCAAGTAGGCAGAGCTGCTAAAACTTGGCGGATAACCAAATGCTACAGCTACACATGAAAGGAAATAACTTCTGCTGAGAAAATTTCTTTTGTTTTGAATGATGGTGAATTTTATTAAAGTACCTTAAAAACTTTTAACTCTTCTGGACTAGAAAACAGTGAGTGTTAGGTTTGTGGATTGTTAATATCAACATAATTTTTCAACACAAATGTCTCCACAAAACTATTGAATAGTTTATTTACAGTAAGTCATGCATTGTATTTTTGCATACTGACAAGCCAGATGCTGGCTGCGTAATTTTTTTTTAATTATATGAAGGTTTTGTAATATACAATAGTTTACTGAAGCCCTAACAGAGACAAATGAACTGCTCGGTAACAGTGTAAACACAGTTCTCAGGATGGGTCCTAATTTTACAGCTATAATGACACTCTTACACTATACAATTTCTTACCTTCAGAACATAAGCTAAATAACCAGTTGACATTCAGTGAAAACAAATTATCTAGAGAATCTCCTAAAACAGTAATCTTTATGTATCAAATTTGTCTGAAGATTTTGTTCTTTAAGCCATGCAAAGTATGAACCAGGGTGGGGTAGGGGGAGGTGACTATAAGTTCTAGGGCTGTCTTGGCAGTGATGCCTCAGTTATGGAACATCCTGCCCTGCCCAGGTCCTTTCTTTTCATCTGTATGAAACAGGTAAAAAAATATTGTTTCATTCAGTTTTATCTGTTTTAAAATGCAGAATTACTGTGTTAAACCTAATATTTGCCTATAGTTTTTAATTTGGTGATGTTGGTTATGCTGTTGTTTTAGACATATTTGCAAACAGGTCAGAGAACATTTGATATAGATCTGTATGTAAGCTTGTAAATAAAACAATAGCCTGCTATATATGAGGTGTAATGATTAAACTGAATTTTGCATTTCTTTCCCATAAATAAACTGTTGCTACAGTCCAGTGCATGCGTCCCTGGGAGTAAGTACCACTGAACAAAGTGGGAATTAACTCTGAGCAAAGATGCCCAGGATTGATCTATAAGTGATTTAGTGCCTACTGGAGTTACCAAAGGAAGTGTATTACGTTTTAATAAATGTTGTCAGAAGGACAATTTGTTGTCAGAAAGACTATTACAATAATACTGCAGCACCAAAACAGTCTTCAAAAAGAAACAAATTTGCTCTTAATTTATAGCACCGCTGATTGAATTAGCCCCTTTCAGTTAATTAACAGTGCCATCCTAAGCAGAGTTCCATCCTTCTAAGACTTCAGTATACTTAGAAATATGTGACTCTGCTTCAGATGCCACTGTAAAGTTATGCTTGTCAGATCCACACAAACTGATTAAAGTGGATAGTTCTAACTGTGGGGCATTACTTGAAGTCCTTGAAAAGTATTTAATTTTATTTTCTCTTTCATCTGTTTCAGGCTATCACTATAATGATCTTGTATCTCCACAGTACTTGAACCTGATAGCTAACCTGTCAGGCTGCACAGCCCATAGGCGTGTGAATAACTGTTCAGATATGTGCTACCATCAGAAATACAGGACACCTGATGGAACCTGTAATAACCTTCAACATCCAATGTGGGGAGCTTCTTTGACAGCCTTTGAACGCCTGTTGAAATCAGTCTATGAAAATGGATTTAATCTGCCAAGGGGCATTGGATCTAATCGGCGTTACAATGGATTCACACTCCCAATGCCTCGTTTAGTTTCGACTACTTTGATAGGAACGGAAACAATAACCCCTGATGACCAGTTTAGTCACATGCTAATGCAGTGGGGTCAATTCCTAGATCATGACCTTGACTCTACAGTTGCTGCTCTAAGTGAAGCCAGGTTTTCTGATGGTCAACATTGCAGTTCAGTTTGTACAAATGATCCTCCATGTTTCTCCATTATGATCCCACCCAATGACCCTCGAGTCAGAAATGGAGCACGGTGCATGTTTTTTGTGCGTTCAAGTCCAGTGTGTGGAAGTGGCATGACATCACTTCTCATGAATTCTGTTTACCCCCGAGAGCAGATTAATCAGCTGACTTCCTATATTGATGCATCCAATGTGTATGGTAGTTCACAGCATGAGGCACAAGAAATCAGAGACCTAGCCAGTCACAGGGGTCTTCTGAGACAGGGCATTGTACAGAGGTCTGGAAAGTCTCTTCTTCCATTTGCTACTGGTCCTCCAACGGAATGTATGAGAGATGAAAATGAAAGCCCGATTCCTTGCTTTTTAGCTGGTGATCACCGTGCCAATGAACAGCTTGGACTCACCAGCATGCACACTCTGTGGTTTAGAGAACACAACAGAATTGCCACAGAATTACTGAAACTGAACCCACACTGGGATGGTGATACAATATATCATGAAACACGTAAAATTGTTGGTGCAGAAATGCAGCACATAACATACAGCCACTGGCTGCCTAAGATTTTGGGAGAGGTGGGCCTGAAAATGCTTGGCGAATATAAAGGCTATGATCCCAATATCAATGCTGGCATAACTAATGAGTTTGCAACTGCTGCTTTTAGGTTTGGTCACACACTCATCAATCCCATACTGTATCGGCTGGATGAAAACTTTGAAACTATCCCACAAGGCCATATACCTCTTCATAAAGCATTCTTCTCTCCATTTAGGATTGTAAATGAAGGTGGTATTGATCCACTTCTAAGGGGTTTGTTTGGTGTTGCGGGTAAGATGCGTGTGACATCACAGCTGCTTAATACAGAATTGACAGAGAGGCTCTTCTCCATGGCACGGACAGTTGCTTTAGATCTGGCTGCAATGAATATCCAAAGAGCCAGAGATCATGGAATCCCACCTTACCATGATTTTAGAGTTTACTGTAACCTTTCTTCTGCACATACATTTGAAGATTTGAAAAATGAAATTAAGAATCCTGATATCAGAGAGAAACTTGGCAGGTGAGCTCCAGGAAAAGGTGATCTTGAATGTTCATGAGATGTTTTTAAATGAAATTGAACATTGCAGTCCAGAGTTCCATGTATCTTTTCGTGCACCCATGGAGATCTCCTGTATACTGACTTCATCTCAGTGAACCCATGCTTGTGTTTTTTGAGAACAGGAGATTGGGTCCATCCACACACTGATCTACACACTGGTTTAAAATGAGAAAAAAGTATTTTTACAAGAGACCCAAAACCCTTTTTTAAAAGTTGTGTCTGTTTTTCTTATTAAAGTTCACAAAACTCTGTTCAGTTACAGTAAAAGCATTGTTATTGTGCACTCATGGGAAAGGGGGTCACCAGTTAATCAACTGGGTCAGATTCTCAAACTTATTACTCTGCCTCACTCCCTACTGAGGGGGATCCACAGTAACCAAGACCTATCCCATTGGTAATGCCATGGTGACAACCCTGTTTGCCTTGTAGGACTCTTCCCCTGCACCATGGAACCATCATCTGCAGCAAGCTTGGGAGCCCTCCAGCAGAGCTGGCTCTTGGCAGTGTGAGGAAAGCTTGAAGGGAAAGAAGGCACCTGGGGATGGCATCAGCTGGCAGTACTCACTGCCTGAAGCCCAGGAATGGATGCTGGCATGAAGCCAGCTGGCTGGATAGGGGGGAGTAGGGAGTTCATTTATTTAAAGATGCAGAGATATGATGGGGAGGAGTGGCTAATCAAATGCTAGATAGTAAAGTTTTTACTGTGCACAGTTCTATAATGTATGGTTTCAATAATAATGTATTCATATATAAAGAAAAAGGTGAGCATGTAACCGCTGCTATGGTTGAGCTGGTCAGTGGTATCCAGCTGTTGGGACAGAGAACTTTTCACAGTTGGCTTGGAGACAGATAGCAGTTTATTCCTTTCTTTGTAAAGGTCCTGCATCCAGATAGATACTTAAAACATGAAGCAGCATTCGTTCTGCATCTCTGCACACAGAATACCTATCATTTTGCAAATACAAAGCCCCTACCATGGATTCAGCCTGATTTTTGGATCGGGGTAATAATATATCAAATTTGGGGATTGCACGTCATTTCTAAAGTAAAATAAAGTAGAAGGTAATGTATAAAGAATTCTAAAACTAGATTATTGCCACTATCCTTTTAAGTATATATGTATCTTCTTCGTGGTCTCTGTGCATCACACCCATGGGATTCTGCGCCTGCGCTAATCCGAATTGGTGGTATGCAAAGCTCACAATGGGATCTTTGCGCCTCTCCTCCAGGCATGCGCGGGAACCCCACTGCACATGCCCAAGGAGGAGGGGCACGGACATCCTGCCAGTTTGATTCTGACCACCGCGCTGTTAACAGCTTGTTTCTGCCGGTTGTTGAAGAAGCGTTTTTTCTCTCACGAGGGATACTCAAACAGTATTTTTCTTCGTTTATTTTATTTTTCTTCTTTATTAACTAAAAAAAAAAAGTACTTTTTGTTGCGGGTTGCCGCTGCCTCAGGCGGCTTTCCGCCTTTCTCCCCCTCACCACCACCTGAGGTAAAAATTTCGTTCACCTTAGTGAAGGCCTTTTTCTTTCCTTTTGGACCATTTTACTCTTTTATGGCCAAAGAGGGGGCTGTTTCAAACTGTGTGTTGGCTGTGGCAGTAAACTTGCCCCTCGTGATGGCCACACACTTTGCAATATGTGCCTTGGGGGAGACTCATCGCCCAGATGCTTGCCGCCATTGTGCGAAGTTCTCGAACCAAACTCGCAAGAACAGAGCCGCGAGACTTCGAGTAGTGCTTTGGGAATCGGCATTGACCCCTGTGCCTGTGGGAAATATGTCGGCCGAGACTCCTGCAATCTCCCTATCGACGGGGACCAAGTCGACATTGGGAGACACCTCGGCACCGAACCCCCCCACACCGTGCAAAGTCGGCATAGGACGGGTGACAGTCTTCTAAGCGTTTGGTGTCGAACAAGGCCTCATCCGCCTCTACGCCAGCCAAAAAGAAGAAAAGAGAAGCACGTGAAAGCTAAGTCTTCTCTCAACGGCACTATGCGTCAGTCTCAGAAAGTGAGCAGCGATAATGTGCATTCGGGCTCTGCATTACCCGCTCTCCAGCGGGCGCAACCCGACGTCATTCATACTCCGATACCGGAGCTGCCTACAATTGAGTTACTGGACTCACCAATCCGGCACCTGAACCCCCCGGTATCAGAGGCTTCTGTCGACTCCGGACCAATTTCGGTCTCGCCGTTTGAAGTCGAGGAAATTGTTCCGCATCGGCCTTGTCGACATTGTTCCCAGTCGGTGATTTCCTGGGAGAGTGATCGGTCTGTGCCGGGCTCTCGACACCGTTGATCCCGATCGCCCAGAGGCCAGGAGTATCGATATTGACCTGAGGAGCGCCCAGATTACCATCGTTCCAGGCCCATGCTCACGTACTCGCCTAGACGGGAATTAAGGCCACACTCTCTGACCTACTTTGACTCACCGGTACCGTGGGATTGTAGGGGGCACCTGCCTTGTTGGTTTATACCTTATCCGATGGCATCGATGCCATGGCTGACGCCTAGGCCACAGTCGGACTGGGACCATGGATCACATCATTCACGCTCTCCCCACCATAAATCCAAGCCTTCTGCATCGCAGTCCAAAGCCCCATAGGAACCTTGTCATCTGCCCTCTCCTCTCCGTTCCACCCCTGCTTTGCCACCGAACGTTCCCCTGATACCAGATACCCCTGTGGCACCGGCATCACCTGCAAGATCCTATGTCTCTGATATGGACACTGAAGGTTTGGAATGTCCTGAGTCACCTGGGGGGTCCTTCCCCAAAGGCTACGGTATCAGACAGCCTGCCGATCTTGCCTTCTGAGGATCTCGCTTCATATGGAGATTTGGTTAAGAGGATGGCACATTCCCTGGGCCTGTCAATTGTCCAGCCCCAACCCTCTGTGTCGGACGCTGTTTTCTATGTTGTGCAGATCGATGCCTCCACCTCGATTGCTCTCCCGATGTTGACTGTTGTCCTACAGGCGGCTAAGGCCCCGTGGGACAAGCCTTCCTCTGTTCCAGTGTCATCCAGACGTCTGGATCATATGTACCAGGTCCAGGAGGCGGAGGCTGAATTTCTCCATATCCATCCCAAGCCTAATTCGATGGTCGTGTCGTCAGCCTCAAGGAGTAAGCGTACTCTTGCTACCCCTTCAGATAAGGAAAGCAAGAAGTTAGACTCCATTGGTCGTTGCTTTTACTCGGCGGGAGCCCTTGGCATTAAGACATCTAATTATGTCGCTTGTATAGGCCGTTACCAGTACTCGCTCTGGGAACGCTTTACCGACCTTTTTACCTCTGTGCCTGTTGACAAACGTCAGGAGGCCAGGCAGCTGCAGAAGGAAGGCTTGCTGCTTTCTAAACAATTCATCAACTTATCCAAACATGCTCTGGATACGTTTTCCAAAACAGTGTCATCTGCAGTTGCCCTCCGTAGGCATTGTTTCCCCCGGTAGGCATTCCTGGCTGAGGACCACCGCACTCCCGGTTGATACCAGGGCGTACATAGAGGACTTGCCTTTCGATGGCCAGGGTCTTTTCCATGCGTCCACTGATTCGACGCTCCAGGAAATGGATAAAAGCATTAAGGCCTCAAGGTTGCTGGGGGTCACTGACCCCTCTAAGCCCTTTTGTCCTCGTTTGTGGTCTCGTTACGGTTCCAGATGCCAATATGCTAAGCTGTCGCCGGATGAAGGCTACAGGTCACGCCGGTCCCCATCTGCAAATAGGCAACAGTAACAGGCCAGAGAGAGATACAGTTCTGGACAGCAGACTGTCAGACCAAAACAGCCCAAACCTGGCAAGCAGGGCCTTTGACTTCCACCTGTCTACCTCTTCCAACCCTACCCGCCTTCATATTTACAGGCCTGGGCCACCATTACATCGGGCCAATGGGTCCTTTCCATCTTAGCCAAGGGCTATTCCATCGAATTCATGGAACTCCCACCTCTTCCTGTAGTCGTCATCACTCCCCCGTCGTCATGCCTCCTCAAGGAGGTCACCACACTTCTGTCAAAGAGTGCTATAGAACCCGTGCCTCTAGATCACCAGGGACTTGGTTTTTATTCACAATGGTTTTCAAGAGGGGCGATGGACAGAGGCCGATCTTAAACCTTCGCAGCCTCAACGCCTATATACAGTACCAAAAATTCAAGTTGACATCCCTTCCCGTCATTCTGCCTCTCCTATCCCAGGGATGCTGGATGGCCATCCTCGACCTCAAGGATGCCTATTTCCATTTAACTATCCACCCCGCCCATCGCAAATACCTCTGATTCACGATGGGAGGCAGCCACTACTAATACAGGAGTCTAACGTTTGGCCTCAGCGCGGCCTCGAGGGTCAACCACAAAAAGTCTTGCCTAGTCCCTTCTCAAAGAGTGTAGTTCATAGGGGCAATACTCGACTCCAAAGAGGGCGCAGCTTTTCTGCCTCGGGACAGGGCACGAACCCTGACCGTTTTGGCAGAACAGGTTCGACTACAAGGAATCTCCTCCGCCTTCCAGATTCAATGCCTCCTGGGCCTAATGGCGGCGACAACTGCAGTCTTCTGTTTTGCAAAGTTGCGAATGCAACCACTCCAGCTGTGGTTCATCCGTCACTTCAAGCCCCTACAGATGTCCCAATCAGTTTGTTTTTCCCTGCCACAAGAGGTACGCGACTCCCTCCTGTGGTGGACGGACTCACACAACCTGATGGAGGGGGTCCCGTTCCGTCCTCTCCTACTCTCACCTTCACAATCAACGCTTCGCTGTGGGGCTGGGGAGCCCACCTCAACGGCCTCTCTGTAGGTCACAGGTAGGATGCTGTGTCCTCAAGGAGACACATAAACTTTCTCGAACTGTTGGCAATAAAATTGGCCCTTCAATGTTTCCAGCCTCTGCTCATAGGACAATGCGTAACTGTCTTAACCGACAATACGACAGCTCTCAGTTATGTCAACAGGCAGGGTGGGACGGTCTCCCGCAGTCTCTGCCTCCTGGCTTGGACCTTTGGGCCTGGTGCATGCCTCTGCACATCTTTCCCATTGCCTCACACATCGCTGGCAAGGCCAATGTGCATGCGAACAGGGGTCTCTCCCAGCGAGCAGGGGTCTCTCCCAGCGTCACGATGGGGAACTGAACTGGGCCTACCTACGTCCCATGTTTCGAAAGTGGGGCATGCCTCATGTTGACGTCTTTGCCACCAGACACAACTCAAAGTGCAACCTGTTTTGCTGCAGGGTGGCTCAGGATCCCAGTGCTTTGGGAGACGGACTCCTGTACCCATGTGACAACAACTTCCTATATATGTTCCCGCCTTGGCCTCTGTTGCTGAAAACGGTCCAAAGACTCATGAGGGTCTGTACGATGTGCATGCTGATCGCCCCCCGGTGGCTAAGGCAACCTTGGTTCGCCAATCTCCTCTCACTAGCTAAGGCACGCCTTCCCCTCTCACAGGTGCCAGATCTGCTCCTGGTAGAGGGAGGAGCTCTCCTATTCCACAAGGTACACAAGCTCAAGTTAACAGCTTATCTCATGGACACTTAACTTTCTCTGACAGAATCAACACTGTGCTACTCAATGCCAGGAAAGATTCTACGTGACATTCCTACAGTGGGAAGTGGGGCCGCTTCTTAGTCTCTAAACAGCCCTCTGACATCCCCCTGGCTTCTGTCAGGATTGACCAGGTCTTAGACTTTCTGCTCTCACTGGCAGAGAAGGGACTCTCGCACTCCTCACTCAGAGTGTATTTGTCAGCTATTTCGGTCTACCATCCGAGCTTCAATGGTTTTTCTGTTTTCTCTCACCCAGTCTCTAAGAGATTTATGAAGGGTCTCCTCCACTTGTATCCACCAATCCACTCACCGGTACCCTTGTGGGATCTACCGCTGGTGCTCCGCCATCTCATGGTGCGGCCCTTTGAGCCTATGGCGACTTGCGAGCTAAAGCATGCAGCATGGAAAACTACCTTTCTTGCCGCCATCACCTCGGCCAGGAGGGTGGGCGAACTCATGGCTCTATGCCATGACCCACCTTTCCTTGTATTCCTGCCAGACGATGTGAGACTGGTCCCTGACATATCTTTTCTGCCTAAGGTGGTCTCCGAATATCACCTAGCCTCGGAGATCTTATTGCCTAACTTCTTCCCTAAACCGGAAGATGGACAACAGCGACTCCTCCACACTCTAGATGTTAGGAGGGCACTGCTCTTTTACCTAAATAGGACACGTCTGAGTATGAGGGACAATCATTTATTTGTCTCCTACTCCAGTCACTCCGCAGGGCTAAAGATTTCAGCACAACGTCTTTCCATATGGATTGTCGATACTATTAAGCAGTGCTACCAGTTGGCTAAGCGGCCATTGCCCTTGCCTGTGCGAGCACACTCTACAAGATCCATGGCTGTGTCCACAGCCTTCTTGAAGGGTGCTTCCCTGTCGGTGTTCTGTGGGGCTGTGACATGGTCTACTCCGAACACCTTCATCAAACACTATGCTTTTGATTTTCGTGAACGCCACAGAGTGGACCTGGGTCATCTAGTCCTTTTATCGGCAGAGTATTGAATTGCGAAAGCTCCCACCTCCAGGTGAGCCACTGCTTTTCAATCTTCCATGGGTGTGATGCACAGAGACCACGAAAAAGATAAACAGGTTGCTTACCTGTAACTGATTATCTTTGAGTGGTCATCTGTACAGTCAGACCACCCGCCCATCCTTCCCCATCAGTACTTTTCTCTGGTTATTGACATGACAGCGGTCAGAAGGAACTGGCAGGATGTCTGTGCCCCTCCTCCTTGGGCATGCACAGTGGGGTTCCCGCGCATGCCTGGAGGAGAGTTGCGAAGATCCCTTTGTGAGCTTTGCATACCACCGATTCGGATTAGAGCAGGCACATAATCCCATGGGTGTGACTGCACAGATGACTACTTGAAGATCATCAGTTACAGGTAAGCAACCTATTTTTTATTTGGCCTGGATTCTCAGAGACCCATAAAACTAATTCCATGTGTTCAATGGAACTTTAGATTTGTTTTCCTTCAACAGCAAAGCTCTTGAAAGAAAGTTTTCAAGGCATTTGTTTTATATGGTATGGTAGGTAAGATTATAAAAACCATTATGCAAGCTCTTTCCACTGAACTTCTGCTTCTTTTTTTAATACTGGCCTCAATAACACTGGGCCTAGTAGCTTAGATCCCACAAATCACCAACAGAAAGCCCTCCCCACCACCACCCTGAGCCATTTCTGATCCTGAGAAAGCTTATAGCAAGGGTCAGAGGACTTGTGTCTATGAATATCTGTTCTGGTCAGGTGGCTGTAATGGGGAGGGGGAAAGGAGCCACCCAGCTGGTATAGTCATTAGTAAATGCAAGGCCCTCAACCCTGAGAATAAACTTTCTAGGGACTCCTAGGAGAGGGAAAGGTGGGGAAGATCCTGCAGTCCTTATGCTCATAAATCACAGGATCCACCCCACAGAGTGCAAAATACAGAGCAAATTTATGCTATAACCACCTTGGACCTACTAATGTTTAAAATGTTAGGAATGAGCTTTTTATATGGAATTTTACTGCCGTTGTTGTAGATATCAGGCAATACAAAAAACTGTGTGTTCAAGTAATATAATGTGAGTAAAATATAGTTCAGACCTTCAGATGCTATGCCACCTTGTGGGACCACATCTATGATTATTCACTGGGGAGAAGAGGGCCCTCTAAAGTATAAAACCCCTGTTTTTTGTCAGCAAGTATAGAAAAGAGGGGGGAGAGAAAACATCAGCTGTGGAGTTCAAAAATGATTCAAGGTTTGTAATCCAGTAAGCACCAGCTCAAATGAAGTCATATACCATTGGACAAAAGGAAGCGATAAAAGCAGACTGGAGATCAGACCTCTAACTGTGTGAAATTTTAGTTTTTAGTATGGTATAATGCAGAATTTATGTATTTTTGGTCATCCACTATCCATAACTTATCTTTCCCATGTTAGATTATATGGTTCACCACTGAACATAGATTTGTTTCCTGCTCTTATGGTAGAAGATTTAGTTCCTGGTAGCAGACTGGGGCCTACATTGATGTGTCTCTTGAGTACGCAGTTTAAACGTCTCCGAGATGGAGACAGGTAAGTTTAGTAGAAAATGAAAGCCTTTCTTTAACAAGGGTAATTTTACAATTGTAATTGTAATCTACTGTGATAGCTGAAGTCTCTCATGATGTTATCCTTAATGAGACTGGTGTTTGCTATAGTGTACTAATTGTAGGCAAAGGATGAGATGGTTAGACAGTGTCATCGATGCAACGAACATGAAGTTGAGCCAACTTCAGAGGACGGCAGAAGACCGGAAGGCCTGGAGAGAGCTCGTCCATGGGGTCGCGAAGAGTCGGACTCGACTGTGCGACTGAACAACAACTAATTGTAGAGGAAAAGAGAAGAGAGCAGTGGGGAGAGACAGTTGGCAAGTGGTACAAGGGCTGTGGGACAAGATTGGCAAATGGGATAGGGGTACCCCAGTCTGAGCTCTTAGTTTTAAGATTAGTGTGTAACATTCTTCCTCTGTAAATGACAGATGAATTAATAAGAAATATTGGTTGATATCCTAGGGCTCGTTTACACACATGTGTTCATTACTTCATGGCTTCAGTGACATGCCATGACTTAAATGGGTGGATCAACCATCAGTGATAAAGTACCATTAATGGAATCTCGTGTTGACTCAAACATAGTATCTTCCAGTTGATTCTATTCATATATGCAGTTGTAATTCATCAAGTGATGAGTGATCATGAGAAACAAAGTGGTGTTTACACATATGAACACTTCTGTTCCCAGTATGAGGTAGCAAGAACATAAAGAGTTCTCAATCACCCTTATTCTTGCATACTACAGTCCCAGTCTTAATTGGCTCCCCACACACCTCAGAAGTGAATTCTCAGCAGGGAGTTAACAGAGTGTGTCTAATAGAAGGTTCTGTAGACCTGGATGTGATACAAGGGCAGTGTAATGGGGTAGTTAGACCATGGGACAAATGTGATTGTATTCCACAAATACATCAGAAGAGAAAGTTGAAAATACAAGAAATGATTGCCATTAAAGGAGATAAATACATTCTTGATTCTATGACAACCAATGCCTGTGGACAAAATATAATCCTCTACTTGAATTCTTTCTTTATTTTTTTACAGTTGAGGGTTGTCTTAAGAATTTATTTTTATTTTATGTGAGATTACAGGTTCTGGTATGAGAACCCTGGCGTTTTTAGTCCACCTCAGTTGACTCAGATCAAGCAGACATCCCTTGCCAGAATCCTATGTGACAACAGTGACAACATAACCAAAGTGCAACGTGATGTTTTTAGAGTAGCTGAGTTCCCACATGGTTATGGAAGCTGTGATGAAATTCCTAAAGTGGATCTTAGGATGTGGCAAGATTGCTGTGAAGGTATGTATACTATGGTTTTATTAAGAAAAACAATTTTGAAGATATTCTGCTAGTCTTCCTACATAAATTCTTTTGACTGTGGTATATTGGATAGAATTTTGGACTTGAACCACAGGGACGGGGATTCAAATCCCTGCTGAGCCCAGAAGCTCTCACTTGACGACCATGGGTGGGTTACCATTTTCCAGTCTAACTGAAAGTTGTTGTGATGATAAAAATGTGATCACTGAGCTTCTTGGCAAAAAAACAAAACCAAAAACCCAAACTGGACTATAAATGCAATCAGTAAAAATATTTCTTGGCATCCAAGCAGATCTATGGGTAATCAGTGTATAGATATAGATACATAGATTGGTGGATATAGATATTTAAAATAAGTAAATCTTGCAGAGTCTTTTTTTTTTAAATCGATTGCATCCTGTTCAGCTTGCAGCACACTGGCATTCATAATCTCCTTTCTCTCCTTCCAAGCCTCTCAGCATTCTTATTTTTCCTTTCCCAAATACACCAGTGGCTCATATTGTTTGCAGTGAAATTTATGCTGCTGCAAATAAAGATTTTTTTACAGGAATCTTAAGTTGTCCTGCCTCCAGTGACACTCAGGCCACCAGTGTCTGGGGAAGGAAGCAGGCAGGTTTTGTCCTCTTCTCAGCTGTCCCCCATTGCAGCCATGTTGATCTGTTCCTCAAAAGTCAACGGAAGCCCGTTCACTGTTATAAGACAAATCCAGCAAACAGACAGACATAACTAGTTTATATAAAAAAGAAAAACATCCCAGCTCTGTGAACAAACTCTTCTCATTGTGGTGTAATTAAAATTCCACAGTTTGGTCAGTGTTTATAAAATCAGGATTTTTTTCAGGTCTATCCTTGCGGTGTATGGTAACATGCATCTGTTTCTGTTATCCTTCCTGTTTTCCTTACTCCTAAATATTTTTCCAGGACAGATGGCAAACCATTGATGGTGTTGGAATTTATCTTCTCTTGGATCGTTGTACTAAAGCCAGTTTAATAATAAAAATATGTTAGCTGCTCTTCTCCATAATAACAAAAACAGAGCTCTACAAGTTGGCTAACAGCTTGTACCACAGAATTACTCTTCAAAATGGTAGGGCACTTAGCCTTGGATATTGATGCATTGCTTATTCAATGACTGTCTAGCTGTTTCAGCGGAGAAAAGAAATGTCAGAAAAGACCCAGGAATAGGATGGCAGCAAAAACTGCCAACTGCATGTTCACAAACATTCTTGTCATCTCCCCAGTAGCTCATTGGAGAAAAGCACCTATGTGCTAGTCAAGCAACTGTTTATCACCTGGGATTAGTGCAGAAGCTAGACTGGAACAAGAGTATGTTGTAGGCTCAGCCGATGGTACCGCACTATGAATTGGGTCCATCCTGGCTTATACCCATTGGAGGGGTGCCTGGAAAGAGCCAAGAGACACACAAGTGTAATAATTAGGTCAACAGAAACTGTGGTCTCTGTAACACAGAGTGCTGGACTGGATGGGCCATTGGCCTGATTCAATATGGCTTCTCTTATGTTCTTATATAGGCTGAGCCACGGGGCGTGGTGACGCCAAGGATGATGGCAGTCGCATAATCTGTGATCTCTGACTCTCCTCGCCCTAACAGAAATAAAACCAACCCCAAACGAGTCTATCTTTCATCTAGGAATGGGTAAGAATTATGGTTCACAAGTAATCGCTCCCAAAACAGCTCACAAAAGTGCTCAAGATTTTTTTACACCAAGAAGTCGTAAATCGGAACAAAAAAAACTTGAGTGCAGAAACTCATAGGATGGCTGCTGAAGCATCTTCACTTCAAGTGCCCACTCCGAGTACAAATAATATAGATCTACTTACTCTTCTAGAAAATATGGAAAAAAAGCTTACTAAAAACATACAATTTTCACTAAAACCGGTCAGAGAGCAACTAATGGACATTCAGGCATTGTTAACTAAAATGGCAGGCACAGCAGAAACGGCTCTAAACATGTCTATGATTTTAAAAAATGATGTCCGTGAATTACAAACTAGGGAAATCAACTACAGAGACCGTCTAATTATCATTGAAGCTCAGCTAAGGCAATTAAACCTGAAATTTAGAGGGATCCCTGAGGAAGAGGAAGAGGAAGGGAATTCGGACATGATTTGCTTCATGTTGGGGTGGCTAGCCTTCGTATTCAACTTAGAAGAAGGTATTGTGCCGGCCATTTTGAAGGCGTACAGGATCAGATCACCCAACACACAGAAACGACGGGGACCTAGAGACATATTAGTACAATTCACAGACGGAAGAACCAGGCAAAAGATTTTGAAAGAAGCGGTGCAGAATGTATAAATCATGTCAAACACAAGTTTTCCCAGACCTGCCACAGGAAGCCTTAAAGATAAGGAAGTCTTTGAAGTTCACCACCTCCCGCCTTCAACAAGAGAATATAAGATACAGATGGATGACATCGAGAGGCTTACAAGTTAATTATAAAGGAACTGTGTTACAAGCCTATGATGAAGATTCAGGTCTGGAACGTCTAGAAGCACTGAAGATATCGGAACCGATGGAGATAAGCAGAAATGCAGCAAAACAACGCCTACAATCATCAGGTTCCCCAGAGAGAAGCAGCAAAGTGCTTCCAAGAGAAACATTTTCCTCAGCTCCAATAGGGTCCTCACTTTCAGCAGAGATCACAGAATGCCCTCTACCATTTTCGGCCGTTGGAAAGAAACAATAAACATTAGCCTTTTAAAATGGGTTATAAGAATTAGGAAGAGTAACTATATGCATGAAATAATAAAAAGTTTTGTTGGGTCTGGCTCAATTATAATTTAACAATAAGGGGAAGGGAGGGAGGTTACAGTATTTTAGGCTCCTTTAGTCAGAGACCGCTTTCGTTTCACTACTCAAAGAAGAGTAACTGAATTCAGGTATAGTAAGTTAAATATAAGGTACACCTGTAATTTAATACAGCCCTCTTTCTGTTTATCACAAGAGCTAAAAGGCAAATAAATATTAAAATAATAATTCAGAAAGGGGGGAAGGAAAAATTCAAAAGCACATAAGGTTACTGGGTTTACACTTCAGAAATAAAGCATTCTGAACAAACAGAATATATCTGTTCCTTAATACATAAAAACATAGTTGTTCAGTTCATTAGGTAGTGGTTCTGAATAACAGAATAGAATTTATATAGCTAATTGATTGTTTCTAGTTAATTAATTTCATTGTACATTGAATCAATTTTAATATAATAACTTATTTTTAAACCAGAATCAATTTCACAGTTCTTTAAAGATATCTGTATTGCACTTTCCTATTTCAAAAATATAGTACCGCTTAAAGTCTAAATTATTGGTAGTTAGAATTAACTCACAGAAGAGAAAAAGGGGGAAATTACTGAATATAGAGGTTATATTGTTATATTAATACTTTTTGGATTAAACAGAATTATTCTTCCTGATTATATATCTTACTGCTTAATAGTTCATTTTTTGGGTATTATATAATAGTTATTGAATTGTCTAGACAAAAAATACTATTTAGGGAAACAATTTCTATTGATCATATAAGTAACCTAGCTATTTTAATTCCGTGGTAAACAAATCTAATTAATTTAATTGTTGTTAAATTGATCATAATTTTTACTTATACACTGTTGGAAATAGTAAATAAATTGAAACAGAGTAGAAAGATTATGTATATTAAGAAGTGCTCAGACTAAAAAAGTGTAATCAGTTCATTACGGAGTAAAGCCCACACATACAATCAGAATGTCTTCACTCAACATCAGAGGTGTGAATAACATGTTAAAAAGAAAAAGGGTATTGAAATATGTCAAACAAACTAGCCCTGATATACTGTTCCTCCAAGAAACACATCATCATTTGGCAACTCTCCCAATTCTGAAGACATCCTTGTTTCTCCAGCAATACATGGCACCAGGATCCTCAAAATCCAGGGGAATGGCAATAATCTTTGGGAAGAAAATAAATTTCATCCTGAAGGAGAAAGAAACTGATCCCATGGAACGCTTCATATTTCTTAAAGGGTCAATAGATGGTAAAAATGGACTTTTGCCTCTATATATGCCCCAAATAATGATCAGATCTCATTTTTACATAATATATTTTTAAAACTACAAAATTTTCAGAAGGGAAATCTTAATTTTATAGCAGACAACATTATGGACTGCTCAAGGGTGAAGGCTAGGAAACAAAGGTCAAAACAGTCAGGCACCAGACTAACAAAATAGTTTGACACCTTTCACCTTGTTGATGTATGGAGCCAAACACCCAACTGAAAGCGATTAATCTTATTACTCAGCTAGACATGATATTTTCACTCATATTGACTATATTTTGATTTCACCACATGTATTACCACATCTTAAATCTGCAACTATAGGTCCTAGGCACTTATTGGACCATGCATGGCTGGAATGTGAGATAATAGACTTCAAAGATGAAAGAACAGACAGACATTGGTTGATGGACACTTCAGTTTTATTACATACATCTATAAGGGAAAAATGGAAAATGAAATCAAAAATTTCCTGGAGATTCACAAAGACACAGAGACAGACCCCACCATACAATGGGACACATTGAAAGCAGTTATGAGAGGTTCCATCATCTCAACAACAGCACACCTGAAAATAGAAAGAGAAAGGTTAACAACAAATATCTTAAATACAATAAAAGAGTTGGAACAGGAACATAAAAGGACAAGAAAAAATGAGATTTATTTACAATTACAAGTGGAAAAGAAGGTGCTGGAATCATTAGAAATTACATCGATCCAAAAGAACCTGCTCATACTGAAACAGAAATTCTGGCATAAATCAGCAAAAAATATGTGTCTACTGGCATGGAGGGTGAAAGAGAAGAAGAGGAAAGCAATGGTAGACATGATGAAATCTTCAAATGGGACTTGCCACAACACTTCTAAAGCTATAGTGAACACGTTTGCCAAATTTTATGAAGATCTCTATAGAACAAAGTCAC